TTACTATAAGTAACTGGCTCGCGCTGCCAGAAATTACGCGGCGGGATATTCAGTGCACAGACCGTGATCATAAGACATGCCGCAAATAGAAAATAGAATTTAGAAAATAGACATTGCATGTGAACGAAGCCTTAAGGCGGTTCGATATTTTATGTAAGGTTTTATTTCACAAAATAGATTTTTCCATTTCTTTTATATCAAATGCATATTTTAGTATTAGTGTAATACGAAAAAAAAAACACTTTTTGAGCAAGAGAAATGGAACCCATCTAGTTAATGTATACACCCATATTGATTTAATTAACTAAAAGTAAGATTGCTGATGTGAAGGAAGCTGACATTAAATAAAAGTAGCAAATTGGAAATGGACCTGTGTATGCTTCTCATTGTCACGAAATTGTATTTGAAATGAATTGCAGTAGGCGAGATGCGTTCGGCGCACCCAGAAAATAAACACTGCTAAAACAATCTCACATTTCACAGGCGACTTTACAAAGCAACGACATTTGGTACAGATTGTACAGTGTACGTGTATTATCACTTCAACGCCTAGCCCATATAATTATCAGGAATATACGTGTTATGACAAATAAACGGAGACAATAAGGAATGGTTATGTTTGACTGAATAAGTAGCAGTCCATCGTTATTTGACCAACACGTTGACATAACGGTTGCTCTATCCATGGCTAAACAATCGGGGGTTGATCTCCCAAGCCGAAAGTACGTTGAGTACGTAGGTTAGTCATGACAATGAATAAGACAAGCCAATATGGGAGCCTACAAGTCTTTCCAGTGAAATGTCAAGGCGTTCAGATAACTGCTGTATCTTCCAGACACGTACATCAGGGGTTGCCCTCCGTGCTCCACGTCCCACAATGTCGTGTTCTGCATTCCATATGGACCGTAGGTGTGTTTGTTCGTGGTGAAGTACAGCTGACCAACATACTCTGACCCTTGATCCATACCGATGCGAATCCTGGTTTAAAGAAAAAAAGAATACAACCATATTTGGCAATGAAGGGTACCGGAGAAGAAAGGATTATACTGGAAGTGCGCGTCATATGACGTCGAGTGGTGTAAGACGTGAAGCTGCTTGGTCAAGCAGACGGGAGTAGAGACGCGAGTGCTAAGTTGAAGCGGATTATCTGACGGCATGATAAGATAATATTTTTGTCATTCGGCATTTTGAGCAGAGAATACTTGTAGAAATACGGGGTATATGATATGTAAACGTGTCACGAAGCTTGAAGGTGCACAATTGTGCTTAATTTCGGTCCACCGACAGCGCGACAAAGAACGTCACGGGGAAAAATCACGCCAGGCTGTAAATCGTCGGCATGTGCAATTTTTGCATGTATGCAATCTGATATGCCCATAACTAACCATTGTTTGGTATTTATGGTAAGCGCTGCAGTTATGTTTTATGGTTCTTAAAGGACCTTGCTTTAACCAGGATGTTTATTGAGTTTGATAACGTCGAAAGTATGATCTTTCATATGCACACAAACTGTATTAATTCTTAATCTAAATATGTAACAGCAGAGTGCGTATAACTGCGACTCTCTTAATGGTAAAGCACAATGCTTACTTGTGTATGTACTCGTCTGTGTTTAATACCAATGTTTCAGCATTTCCACCTAGTCCTCCAGCGAAGGTCCCTTCCGTATTGTCGCCATAGATGAACTGGATTCTGAAACATGTTATTTACTGATGTGGTTTATAATACATACAGGTATTGTGATATTAATGGTAAGGTAAGCTAGGTCTGACCCAATGAATAATAAACCAATAAACCAATGAATGCATCCACATTTTTAAATATTAAAATATTTTGTAGGAGCGGATAATGCAAATTAAGTTGACGATGGTGTCTAAGAGAAGAATAAAGAGAAAAATGAAGAAATGTTTTTGTAAAAACGCTGCAATTTTCATGGGACAAGTTCTTATGCAACATATAACGACTGCTGTTCATGAGGCACTCATAATGGTCACTTACCCGTCGATTATACCTCCGTGCCGTATTAAAATACTTGAAATGGGGCCATACAGAGATGGTCCAAAATCACTGAACCAATCTCCCGAGGAGCCACCGTAAGGGCCCAAAGCCTTTGAAGAGTCCTCAAGCACTGTTTTAAATTAAACATCATTTGATATAAATATAATGAGGGAAACGGGACTTATTTAAAAATGAAACAAATTTCATTTATAACATACCCATCTTCATGGCCGCCTAATTTCGAAATGATTGGAATATCTGTCCAAAGAAAAAGCTGTATTGGAATAAATAAAATCGTTTTTATAGTATAAGATAAAAGTAAATGAAATGAAATGAAATGAAACAGAATAAAATAAATGTTCAGCGGTCGATAAAAGATATTTACCAAAAAAAAAAAAAAAAACAAAAACAAAACAAATGTGCACACTGAAAACTGCGCCAGTATATACAGACCTAGCGAAGTCCATGCAGAGTTAACCCCGGGTACTTCTCCTTGTCCAGTGATGTTACTGAGTAATTCGCAGTCCCTTAAAAAACTTTCATAATTGGCCGCCAAGCACCCTGCGGTTCCCAAACATCTAGAACCGCACTCGGAGAGGGAGCGAAGTTTTACCGTGCCCAGCGACCAACCATCTTGACGAAATCTCTCTTCAATCGTGAAAAATCCGATTTCTTCTTGGCGCGAGGTAGAGGCCGTGTATACACGAACAAAAACAAGTAAAATCTCAAAACACAGGGACGTTTTCGAAGTCATTCCGTCGAGTGATTAAATACAACGAGAAATGGTTTTTAAAATGACTTTGTTCATTCTCACCTCAAACACCATTATTCTGGATCAATGGTTTTGTTTTAGTCAGACAAAAAGAAGGAAGGAACAATTCGTTTAGGTTCAAAGAACGATTGATCAGATCAGGATAACTGTAACAGCACTTAATTGGTAGTTTAACAACACAGTATTATCTTACAAGCCAATGACCAAGATAAATTTGCATTGCAAATATAGTCACAGAACAAGGGAGAAACTCGCAATTTAAGGCCCCATTCCCACTGACACCATTGGTCTAGGTGGATCGACCCAAATTTGCGGGCAAAGAGCAGTCAGCTCGACTGAATGGCAAATTGCAATTTTCTCCATTTGGAAAAATATGTAAATTGACACGTAGAATATGATACAATGGGTGCATTTGTACGGAGTACTTCGGTCCCAAGGAAGCGCGGTACCTACACACACTGGACAAAAGAAGTGTCACCCCCTAACTCAGAGTAATGAAAGTAGGCAGATCTTGGGTACTTATAATGCCTGGTCTACTTATAATGTGACTAATGAGTATAAAACCGCTATACCATGGAATTGTATTGTTGGTCTTGAACATGTACAGCAAATGTTATTCCTGTCTTCCTCCAGTATGGCAAGATACAGGCAATTATCTAACGGTTATAGGTGCAAGTTATTAACCTGAAGAGGCGGAATATAAGCAATGTCAGAATATCGATACAATTGAATTGTTCAGTCAGAACCGTGCAGAGGGTCTGGTCTCGGTATAGAAACACTGGATCAAGAGACAAATTGCCTCTGATGGGTCGTCCAAGAAAAAATACTGGCCGTGAAGACCGACGACTGATTTTGATGTCCAGGTTGTCAAAGTTCGACACTGCTTGTCAGTTGACAACACAGTGGAACAATTTCACACATAAGAATGTGTCTGTGAAAATTGCTAGGCGTCGGTTACATGCTCAGAGAGTGTACAGCAGGGTAGCAAGACTGAAACCTCTTATATCGTTACAAAACAGGCAACGTAGAGTAAACTAGGGTCAACAGGATCTGGAACTGGACAGTTCATGACAATTGGTCCTATATATTTTTTCTGATGAGTGTCGCTTTGGTCTGACCTCTGATGACAGACGGGTACTATGCTGGCAAACTGCTGGTAAAGCATTTGAACCACATGCACTGAATTTTCGAACCCGGAGCAGCATATTCATCATGTCGTGGGGCTGCATCAGCATCCATGGCTTGGGCGAATTGATAGTGGTTAATGGAAACATGAATCACTAGAAATATATCGATGTTTTGGAGTCAGGCTTGCTACCATCTATTACTAACATGTTTGGTGAAAGGAATTATCCATCTGTTCACCAGGATGACAATGCTCCTTGTCACAGGCCCAGAGCAGTTGATGATTGGTTTGACCAACAGGACATTCGCAGGGTGATGTGGCCTGCCCAGAGTCCGGATACAAACATTATAGAAAATGTGTGGAATGATAAGTCAAAACTTTTTACAAATGCCCGTCTAACCAGCAGAGAAACTCTGTTATATTCAGTGTTTCATGCTTGGGCCAGCATAAGCCCTGAACGCATCAGACAATTAAATGAATCTTTGCTTCGTAGACTGGCACCTATTATTAGGTCAAGTGGCTATGCCACTAAGTACTAATTTTGGACTTGAAACTACATATTTTGGTAGAATGTATATTTTGTTCTCATTTTGTGATTTTTTGTGAAATTTGATGTTAATAAAATGTACCAGGAGCATATCATTCCACAGTCATTTATCTCCCCCATAGTATTGGCTCAGTAGGGGTGACACTTCTTTTGTCCAGTGTGTGTAGGTAAATATATATACACATATTGACGGAACTAACTAAAACCAAGTTTGCTCTGGCGATGTGAAGGAAACTGACATTGATTGAAAGTCAGCTTAAACAAAGACGGGAATTGGACATGGGACAGCTTAGATTTTATGTGCTACACTACCGTTAATTGAAGATCCCACATTATGTTAACATAAATGATCTGTACATGTTTATACAACAACTGCACACTGATGAACTTAAATAGATCTAATATGTAATACAGCGGTGTGTAAAAGATAATCATTATAATAAAAACTGTTTCAAAATATGATTATGTTAGTCAGAGAAATATTGGAGGTTAACTATTTCAATATTACGCTGTTGATTGAAGAGAAATTATTTTATTCTTATAATTTTGTAAGCTTTTTCAAATAGGCATATTTATATGCGTATAATACGTGTTTTTCTATCGCACAGAAAAACTTTGCTAATCTTACTATATAATGGTTTCTTAGTGGATCCAATGATGAAAGTAAGTCTATGAACTCTGCTTTTCTCTTGGAAGCATCCACTAACCCCAGTAGGTGCCTATTCGAAGAATTATTTAACATTTGAATATCAATACAGGCATATAATATCTAACCTCATGAATTTTATTTGTGGATACGATGACAGACCATTAGTTTGCATTCGGCAAAACGAAGTCTCCCTTTCAAAAATTCAGTTCAAGAGTCTTCCATGTTTGGTAATTACAGAATTGCATTTGATATGAATTGCATTGGTTGAGATGCGTGCGGCGCAATCAGAAAACCAACACTACAAAAACAATCCAAAATCCGACTTTTGCAAACCAACGGCATCATATACGTTTACTCTACTTCCTATCATATACGACAGATAAACAAAGGTAAAACAAAATCCAATGCAGTCCATCTTAAATTCCATCAACACTTTATGACAGCAGTCCATCTTAAATTCCATCAACACTTTATGACAGCGGCAGCCGGATCCATGGCTAGACCGACGGAAATCAACTCCCAAGTCGCGGGATTTTTGAGTGGGAAGTATAACAGAGGCGGATACAGAGATAGTTTCTGGCAGTCTTCCGAGTTATCTTTGTTAATCCATCCTCCATTTTTGACCGCCTTCCGAGAGAAAAAATAGATACCCGTCAATGTAAACTTGAAAATCTGACCGTCTTTCGGAAGACCCAGAAGACGGTCTCAATCTGCCCCCTGTATAGTACGGCATTTGCTCTTTATTCTTACATTTTAACAGACAAAAAAAGACAAGTGTGCACTCTAAATCATAGGTGCACCGAATAGCCATACATCGTCCCAAATGTTCCCATAAAAATGACACCGGTTTCGAGCTACTAAATCGAATGCACCGATTAAATTGTCCATTTACAGGTTTTATAAAAGAATCTGTTGATGTACATTGCGAAGGTCGCGTCAAGTATCTGTAATTTCGCACCATGAAATCGTGTTCCGGGTCGTCAATTCGGCGTTCGCGATCACAAATCGACGGTTTGAGATCTCGAATAGCAATTTCGTTTATGAGGTCTGACTGAGCGAGTTTTCTGGACACGAAATAAGTGTAGTGTGTGTACATGTCAGAACTACCTACTTATAATCAACGTACTTTCGGCTTTGGGGGTTCAATCACCATTTAAACAGTGAATGCATTTTGTTTTTCTCTAGTTGTCTATTAAATTAGGAGTGATATAGATTTTCCAGAATATTATAGTTTCAGTAAAGGATGAGACCCCAGCACACCCAATTTCACGGAGAAGTACGACATATTTGGCGTGCATTTTTCTTGTGTAAGATTTCTATGTGTACACCAATTACCTTAGGCCTTATATTTCAATGTAGCAACGCCACTTTAGCTGAACCATGTACCTGTAGGGCCCGTTATAATTGCCTATATGAATACATTCTATCCAATGGTAAATATCAACTTTCAGGATAGACAACTCTCCGCAATTATTGTTATCGTCGTTGCTCTTTGTATTCGGATATTACTTCTTCGTTGCTTACCAGACGAACAAAAGTTCTTCACATTTTCATAACAACATTGACGGCAACATCAGACATGTGCGCTAACTCTTTGAGACAAGCCTTAAGATCAGGTCATGTATTACCTCAGCTTAGCTGAAATCATACCTCTACCATAAAGTTCGGTATGTGTATTATACAGTTAACAGCTGATGTATTTTCATCACATCTTTTCTCGATGGTTATTTTAGGTAATGCTTTTCGAGCATCAGTACTATGTTATACCTGTGTAGCTTAATTATGCCAAATAAAGAAAAAATTTAATGTTATGCTGTTTAAAGAAAAATTGATGTTGGAGCTAGTGCACTTGTAGAATAAAGAGAGACAAGATATGATGATGTCTTATGTTTGAAACTGGAGTTAAGAAAGGGAGCATCTAGACGACTAAATTGGATATTTTAATAAATGATGGACAACGTGGAAATCGTTTTATTGAAACGCCTACCAAACAATGATTTTGAAGTGTATAATACAGTCATAGATACCGCAGTGAATATTTTGTTACATTTAGCGATAAACCTGTAACAAAATACGGAGGTCCGGGTGAGACCAACGCACCCTTTCTTCTATTTAAGACGCAGACGTAACGATGCACTTTATCCACTGCAGAAACTACGCACTGACTCCATCACGCGCACGAACGTCTGCAAGGTAAGTTAGTACTACAGTGTATTTTGGAATTTTATCGAAAGAGTTTAAAGTAAATTAATCAATTTATTCATACAGTTGTAAATTAATATTTCTAGCTTTTACTTATTATAGTTTTATATCGGTAATTCATAAATCCTTCCAAATGGTATGTAAACGGCTTCTTTTATTGGCAGTAAATTCTCTAAGACATTTCAAGTCATATGGTCTAACATGAACATCATTTAAATGTGCATTAACGGTCAACGGCAGAGCAATTAAGCTCAATATATCTTTCTACGTCTTGGTTGAAGGCTTCCGAGTTATACTTTTAAAAAAGTGCACACACTTTTTAGTAGTAACCTGTCCATTTTCCATTTCCGAAAGTTCTTGTATAGTTTAGCGGTCCATATTTGTCAATTCATTTTACTATTACGGGAATACAGTCAGAACTGTTAAGTGGTATTTGTAGTATATGTCACACGTACAGTATATTCGTCTGCTGCTATTTGTACAAGGAGCTAGTGCCCTCATTTTTAGAATTTATAGAAACAATCTCTTGGCGTTGTTCGTATTGAGATCTTTCATGTCTTCACCATGGTAGCACTTTGACGCCGGTTAAACTGTTTAAACGCTATTTACCTAACCGGCTGTCTAACTGCTCTTTATACAACACAATTACAAATGTCGTTTAGATTGGTGTTTAGGTAATTTATCCACAAAGCAATTATTTGTGTGTCCGTCAAATTCATATTCCTTGATAATATGACATGGTTTGAACATTTTTTCTATCAACGTGGTAAGTTGACCAGCCGCCTCTTTATGACCTTGACCGTTACTGTCATAGTGAATACTGCCAAGCAACCAAGGTAGTCCCTTCAAAAACGCCAAGTCAACGACTAAAATACATTTGGCACACTTAGTGCGGTTAACTGCCTTCAATTTTCATTAATTTATACTTCTTTAAGCAAAACCTATAAACAGAAATTACACTCACAAAAACGTCCTTCGTAATACTTGACCCAAGGTCTATTTACAGAGTGCATTGAAGAAAGCTAACCACGTGTTAGGAGAAAAATAAACCGCAAACTTTTAAGCAAAGACCCATCACCAAGAACACTATTCATACAAATGGCACAATACTTTGGTACCCCTGTAGCTTATGATAGTATATGTTTGATGTGAAAATCATCCTCGTCTTTATTTTAGAGAGACCGTAGCGAGTTATCCATATTAGAAAGAGCAAATGACGTAAGTGTTAGAACATTTTATCTAAGGGAGCTTATGTATTTAACACGTTTTCTGTTTGTAAAAAATCAAAAATATTAGCCATTCTAACTAGATACTGTTTTAAACAAAGCATTTACATTTACATTCCTTAAATGGCGACCAAAGAACATTGCTGCAAAGATTAAAGAACAAACGTATCGCGATATTTTTCTTTTTATTGGCAGTAAATTCTCTAAGACTACGATTTCATGCATATGTTGCTATGACTATATGTACACAAAGGTAAGCCATATGGTAGGTAATGACATGATACACTGTTATTTATATCCTGATCGTTTGCAAAACACTTGAATTTAAAATGATGGTCACTAAAATGTGTGACATGCATATGGCGTGGATCTAGGTGCTGAATTAACTTCCCCACTTTGGTGTCCATTGCAAGGGAAATATTGAAAAGATCATAGCGATGGTTAATAGTTTAGTTTTAACACTACACTACTAACACTGCACTGAGCTACATGTGCGCTTATATATGTAACCTGTTCAGAACCTAGTGGATAGCAGCTTTTCAACATTGCTGAGGGGGAAGGGGGATTTTGAGATAGTTGTTAGGTCATTCCACGAAACCATCAGTTACGCACAAACATTTCGCGCACTTTTTGCATATTTTTGACTCGCTCTGTTCTTTTCGCTGTTTTGCACTTAAGAACTCTCCAACCAAGAAATTAACCAACAGAAATAAAATGATATTAAACAGTTATGCAAATATTGCACAAAATGTAAGCATTTCCATAACAGAAATGCTCACCTTTTGACCCTGTTACAGTAACTGCGTTCACCCTTGTACATGTGGAGCGTGAAAATATGCATTACTTTTATTGCTGCATTAATAAGCTGATTCCGGATAAGAGACGTTAAAGTGGTGTCTCTGAAGTACCACTTGTCTCACTTCTTGGGTATAGGTATTAAACAACAGAACGAAAACACTTATAAAAAACCTGGTCATTTTAAACACTTTCTATAGTAAAGTCCATGTTTGAAAGCTAAGGGTATCTTATGTAACAGAAAGATATGGTGGCAATTCGGCTTTGTTACTGTTACTGTTTTATTAATATTTGGTAGATGTTTTCGTAATGCTTGTTTTGACTGATTTTAAGGTTATATCAACAAATCTGATACGCAATTTTAAAAGTGTTTATATACATATTACACGTCTTCTAAGCAGTCATTTACTCAGACGTACAAAAACGTGCTTAATGGAAAGAAACTGTACATGTGGGCCTAGTGGTTACTAAAAGCGTTATGGCTTTCCGTCAGTCGGTCCAAAAACATAATTATTTTTAATAGCAATAATAAGGAGAAATGAATAAAATTAATGTTCCAGAGAAACCTTCAAGAGCACTTTCAAGAGGTTCACACGTTGTTATTATTTCATCATTTTCAATCATACGGGGTTCCTGTTCATGTTCCTTTCTGGAAGATTCAACAAGCTTTTCTCTTTAGACAGTAAATGAATACTGCCCCTCTGACATCATCAGCTGCCCACATTTCACCCATAATTTCGGCTATTTTTGCTTGTTTTCCTCAAAGTATATTCATCCAAGAACATTTGGCGTTTTTTAGTTAAAATATTCACATAACACCTGACCACAAGTCATTAGGAAGCTGCACTAATGGGTTTGTTTTCAGCCATAGTATACACTGCCCATGACCTTAACCGCACCATCCAGTATTTACTTATTTGACTCTTCCAGCATCGTTGTCTCTACGCAGGCTTAGGTGACAAAAGACAATGCATTACGACGATCTTCTTGTGATACTTGGAGAGTTTGGGTCCTACCAGAAACGCCAGTACCTTTTAATTTGCCTGGTTACGATATCGACTACCCTGCAGACGTTAAGCATCGTTTTCTACGGCGCCGTACCGGAACATCACTGCAAGGTACCAGACGCTTACGTTGACTACCTGAACCTGAACTATGGCAATGTGACACAGGACGAATTGTTAAACCTTACAATACCGTGGATACAAGACGATGATGGGACACTTCACCGAAGTAGTTGCAACATATATGACTACGAGAAGTGGACTGAAAATCTAGAAGTCGGAAGTGGTGCTCACTTTGTTAATAATGCTACTAAGGATGAAAGTAATATAACTCCAGGATTGGTGAAGGGAAATATGAGTGAAGTAGCCTGTCCCGAAGGACGAGTGTACAGCCAAGAGGTATTCACAGCAACCATTGTGTCTGATGTAAGTATAAGAGGAAAAAAGAAAATGGCCATGACGGTGTCACCGTCAAAACGCGGTCCTCGTTGTGCAATATTCAGTGTTATGATTAGCATTTTAAAGCTCTTGCAATTAAACGGTACTGCATCAACACAAACTTTTATTAATTTTTTATTATTACATAAAATATGAATTGGATGTTATAACATTAAATGAATTTTTATTCTGAGATTTCCAAAGGACGTTTAAGTATTGCTGTTTTTACTACTGGAGTGGTGTTTTCTTAAGTGACTACAGTATAGTATGTTTTTCTTTTCAGTTTGACTTAACATGTGAGAATAAAGTGTTTCTAAGCACGTGCAAGTCGATATTCTTCGTGGGAAAACTTGCCGGTGCCATTCTCTCTGGGATCATATCTGACAGGTAAGCGCTAATGGTGCTCTTTAGTTCGGTAAAATTTGGTCACAGAGTCCTGGACACAGTTTAGTTTGGTACGTACAGTGTTTAAAACAATTGGTTATCTGCAATACATATCATGTTCTCTGAGAGGTCAATCACAGCATGTTATTATGGTGTGCGTCGTGCAAGAATTACCTTAAAGAAACTAGTATCCAATAGGGGTTCATTTAATCATATATTTCCAGGTTTGGGAGGAGGCCTACTTTCCTGTTCTCTGTCTGTCTTCAAACCTTGTCCGGGACCTTGGTTATGTTGTCCCCGAACATCTTCGTATACACGGTCATTTATGGCATTCAAGGGATCTTTGAGGGATCTGTATTTTTGACATCTTACACAATAGGTGCGTAACGTAGGAAATATGATATTTGAAGATCATCTTAGTAGGAACGAATTAGTTCACTATTCAGAATGGTAATGATTCAGTATTGCGTTTACTCAATATCACCAACCTTTATCTAAATGTTTTACAAGTTAATAGTATTAAAATCAAAGCTCAGAACAACCATACTACATGAACATTTTATTTTGACTAAGATCATACCGAAATAATGTTTAAACAATGATATGCAGGGACGCTTCAGACCTCCAAACTGTCTCATTCATCTTTTGTTTTGATTCTTTAGGAATGGAATTTGTTGGCAAAAGTAAAAGAAAACTAGCAGGATTTGGCAATATGGCAACTTTTAGCATGGGATACTGCGTACTCTCCCTGTACGCATATTTTGTGCGGGATTGGCGAAACCTTGCCCTGACGGTTAGCCTCCCTGGTTTACTGTACTGTCTATATTACTTGTAAGTGCCAGAATTATTTTAATTTGAGTCAATCGATTTTTTTTCTTTGGCAGGTCTGCAAAATTGAATCAATTCATTTTGGTTTTGTTAACTGTTCTTACGATATAAAAAGATTAGATATAATGCAATTTCAAATAAACTTAGTCTCCATTTTTGTCTATCGAGAATAAAGTTACTTATCTTTCATCTTATTGATTTATTAGCTTTTGTTTTCTTCTTCTTCTTCTTCTTCTTCTTCTTCTTATTAGTATTATTATTATTGAGTGAAGTGTTGATCGTATCTTCTGTATGTTTTTATTTTTCATTACTTTGCACCATTTAGTTTTTTCCCGGAATCGGTTCGCTGGCTCTTGGCGCATGGTAGAAACCAAGAAGCAGAAGTTATCATCAACAAAGTGGCCAAAGTGAACAAAGTAGAACTTGAGCAGGGAATCTTGGAGAAATTATTTGAGGAAAAGTCGGAAATGCAGACCACACTTCACACGCCAATAGACATGTTTCGGACTTGGGATAGGGCAAAGATCACGTTGAACATCAGCTTTAATTGGTAAGATTGGGCAGTTTACAGTAACACGTGGAAACTTTTGTCAGGAGTACTTTACGTATACATTAATATTGTTATTATTTATAAAGAGGACTTTGTATGGTTTTATTTAACTTTCTAAAATTTAGAGCCGAGCCAATAATACGAATTTAGCATTTTGGTGAAAATCAAGATCTTCATCAGTATTTTTCCACAACTGGTGAAACTTCCTCTTCTTTTAGGGTTGTCAATTCAATAGTGTACTACGGCATTGCCTTAAACACCCAAGGCCTAGGCGGGAATATCTATCTCAATTTTGCCCTACTAGGACTCGCTGAACTTCCGGGTTTTGCTTTTGCTTTGTTGCTATTGGACAGAATAGGGCGCCGCAAGATGTCACTACTGTTGCTGACTATTGCTGGGTGTGGATGCATTGTGTCTGGAGTTCTACCTGCAGGTAAAGCAATATTTTTACGAGTAGCTGTGTCATAAATGACACATAGGGCCATTAGAAGACTACAGATATAAGAATAAGCTTTTTTTCAATGAAGATTAATGAAATACGTGCATACAGGTGTATAATATCAAGGCTATTTCAGGATTAACTTTTGTCCAGAATTTTTCATAAGTCTCTTTTCAGTAATTTTCCTGTAGTCCAGCCAACAGGTCACCAACCTTTCTTCACCTATGGTAGACTTGAATATAATATACAGTATATTACATTTAACTGCATTGCTTTCACTGGCCCATCTATATATGTGTTCTTCAGATCTTGAATGGCTCAGTATTACCTTTGCCTTAATCGGTAAGGTGGGTATAGGAGCAAGCTTTGCCGTCATCTACCTCATCACGGCCGAGACCTTCCCCACTGTCATGAGGTAAGGGAACGCAATGACAACTACCGGGAACTGAACTACAGTAATCATCAAAGTTAATTAAAATGGACGATGAAAAGCGAAACCTGACAATAGTAGTTAAATCTAACCAATGCGCGTATTTGACACAAGACAAATATTCAATTTATATTAATAAAACATACTTTCAGCTTAAGTGAACCACTTGGCTACAATGTTGAGACAACAAGCCTTCCGTGTTCTATGCGTTGTAGCATTGTCCATTAATTGTTGTCATATTCAAATAGAGTGCCTTAATGCCCTAGTAATATGATTAAAAGATGTCCTTCTGCCTTTGAGTTCGTGCTAAAGAATAATCGCCTGACGCTTTTTTATTCCAGAAACCTCAGTCTTGGCTTTTCCTCGGCAATGTCACGTGTTGGGGGTATATTTGCTCCCCAAATTCTCTTACTCAGCAGCGTCTGGGGTCCGCTTCCCTTCGTCATCTTCGGGGCAGCGTCCATCCTCGCTGGTTTGCTTATCATGTTGATACCAGAAACTCTGAACCGACCACTTTGCCAAACCGTGGAGGACTTTGACGATTGGATCAGCGGGAGGTAAATTGAACAGCTTTAGTTCATTGATTTGCCCATTTAATGTTTACATCCAATTTACTAGATTGTTATTTGTTTAAGAAATAAGTATAGGGGTATTGTTTAAGAAAAAGGGTTCCAGGGCAGTTTATATGCAAAAAACAATTTGTGTAACGACAAGATTGCATTTGGTTTTTTTTTAAATTATTTAGCACAACTCATAATGACGACACTGGAAAGAAAATTGACGGCGTTTCTATCGCAGAGAAAGAAGTATGAATGGACTATAAGATGTCAAGAGAGAAAGAGAGAGTGAGGAAGCTTTTCAAGGGACGTGCGCCAAAGACACCAAGATTGTGTTTATGGGGACTTTATGAACATTAATCAAGGATCTCTAACACGATTTTACTTGTATCCAAGCAAACGCGCACACGCATCCATGACTAGACAAGCAGTAATTTTTTGTTCGATCTTATATATAATGAATTAACTGTTGTCCAGATTGTTTATATCAGCATATCCATGATCCCATTCCCTCCTGCTTAAGCGCTACAGAACTAAGTAGATACTCTGATGTGTGATTTTAATTAGTGTTTCTTCTTATTTTTAAGAAATAAAGATATACATTATCTTGTCATGAAAATGGTGACGAAGGGTTTTTTCATTATCACGTGGCATTTATCAACCCCATGTGACGTTCCATTAACTAACTGATTTACAGTGATGAAAAAAATCTGTGCGTCCTTTGGTTAATTCTATTCTACAGCAAGAAGAGTCAACCTGTGAACTCATTAGAGACGACAACGTACGTTAGACTATTGTATAGGGATTGGTTTGAGGCATAATTCTCATAGTATTTGTGTCGCAGGAGATTGTTTTGGCTTATTTATACTAGTTCCTTTAAAGTTTTCAAGGGCGTCAAAAGCATAAATATCAGAAGCATGAACAAGTCCCTCCCTTAAACATTACTTGAACACTTTAATTTATTCTGACCAACAGGCTCCCCTTTCCCTTTGCTCCTGTTACACATATTTAAACAAATCTGCTAGAAGACAGTTATTTGAGAATGCACGCATGGTGCTGTACATGTATCTCCGAACTTGTTTTGCAACTTCTCAGTTGAGTGGAAAGCTGCCAAATTCTACAGGCGTTGTTAATAGCATTACCGAATTTCTTTTACAAAACGAGAGAAATGGTTGATGTTTTAGATTAATATCTACAATAGCTCCTGTGACCGGTACATCAAAACGGCTATAGCCCTAAATTAGTCTTTTAAATCCAATATTGAAATTGAATCTAATAAATTATGTTTTCATTACTATCGTAAAGATTAAAAACAAACATCTTTATCGTTAAAAATGGACAGAGCAGCAATTTTCAGATACACAAGACCTACAAGATTGAGCGCAATTACATCCTCGAGGATGATGTTACAGCTAACACAATCCTCCAGAAGGCGACACAGTTTAAACATATTGTTCAAAGAAGCACACGAACAATAACAAGGCAACCGGCTGAGAAAAGTTACATCACGGGTGCCACCTCAGAACACGTGATCTGTGCTTAGTTGCCATACGACTGGGGCTCGTTACAGAAGTACCTGTCACGCAGGCCATATAAAAAATTTACGTGTTTGAGCTCTATTATTTTTACAAAATATCAACTTAAAGTAATAGGCAATAGGCAAAAAAGTTCATTTAACGATATTCTAAATTCTACAGTATTTTACAGTTTTATTTTCATATAATCGAAGCTTTTTAAGATAAATATAAAAGTCTTTCGGTGCTTATTACGCTATAACTTTATGAAGTCCAATTTGTAAATGCTGTCACGTGGTCGTCCGTTGTTTATGCTTTTTGCCTCGCTTTCGAAAAAATCTGAACTCTCAGTCAAAATACAAGAATTGAAATTAAAATATCATATCGGCCCATTGTCGCCAAAGAATATGCTTTCATTGCACACGCTTGACCTTTCTACGACTTTCGATGCATTTTTGCAACATTTTCATTACCTTGCCTAGTGGAGATTTTTTATTTCGTTGTAAAGAGAGGGGGATAACTTTTGGGCAAAATGACCGTACAGTTAAACCCTATATATACAAAGAGAATCCTCTGAACTAGACCAAATAAAGACCGTTTTAGCACAGTCCGAGGCAACTGCCTTTTGGTCCATAAACCAATCGAAATTTATCTCTGACGACAGCACAAAGCAAAGGCAATCGAAACAGCGAGACTGCAAACACAGTCAGGCTTTTTCAATTTCACCTTTAAATTGCGCATAAACTGAACCTGCAACTGTAATATTCCTGTGCTCTACAAGGGTTTATTTTGTTGCTTCGGTCCGCGTTACGATCATTTTGATAACAATTATGATTGGACACCAGTCTGGAGCGATTCCTCTGCGCCTTCCTCGTCCTCTACACACATTCGTAGACCCTCTCCTGTGACAGAAACACCACCATTTTCCTTTGAAGCGCCACCACTATAAGTTGTCCTGAAAATTAAACGTAAACAAGAAGGCCAAATGCTCTGAAACATGTCAGATTGCATGTTTTAAAATCACAGCTAAACCTCATGTTTACTGAATAGATGCTTGATGCATGGAAGCATCATCCTGGGGTTATAGACAAAACACCCTCATGAATATCAACTATCCTGGTGGGATCGCTTTAACAGACGCTACCTTCATGCCGTCTTGTAAACGAATAAACTTCCTATGAAAGTCGAAACGTGAATACACCGTGCATATAATTTTATTGAAGCTGTTCAGTTTACCTCCCGCTGATCCTGATGTCAAAGTCATCCACGGTTTGGCAAAGTGGTCGATTCAGAGTTTCTGGGACCAACATGATGAGCAGGCCGGCAAGGATGGAGACCGCTCCGAAAACGACGAAGGGAAGAGGACCCCAGACGCTGCTAAGTAAGAGAACTTGGGGAGCAAGAACACCACCAACACGTGCCGTTGCCGAGGAGAACCCAAGACTGAGGTTTCTGGAATGATTGCACGTAATATATAAATAATATATCGTGCTACTTTGCACATTTGGGCAAATCGAAAAAAAGATGCAATTTAAGTTACTGGTGAGTTCAGTTTAACACATATTTAACTGTGTTCTAAAGCGTGTTTGATTTAACCATGCTAACAATAAAGTCGCTTTGATGCAATATATTCAGTGATTTTGCAGTCTTGTTCACTTCGATTTGATAAATTTATAATTTTAACCATGCCAATTCTTAATAACCCTTCTTCAATCCGTGGATGACAAGTGTCACTGTGTCAACTTACCTCATTACGGTGGGGTAAATCTCAGCAGTAATCAGATAGATGACAGCAAAACTGCCTCCCACACCGATCTTACCGATTATTGCAAAGGTGATACTGAGCCATTCAAGATCTGGAGAGGAATGAGAATCAGATATCACAAACAAGATTCAGGAGAGAGACTCCAGTTCAAAAATATGGTACTGGGTACATGTACATAAAGGAATGTATATTATTATTATTCGACCAAAATATCTGGTTAAAATATGACAGTTAAATAATATGAGGAAGTCACTGTGGCATTTCTCACAATTCTGGAAAAAATCCAAATTTCACTTCAATTTGACAATACACGATGGATTTTGGAATATCATGTAAGTTAAATTTTTTCAAACAGACTTGTCCGTATTATGAGCTCAAAGACATTGACTTTCATGAGATATCTCTTTATTTGTCGCCGTTAAATAACATAGAAATACCAATAAGAAAATCAAACCTGAAGGGAGCACTCCTGACAAAATGCACCCGATCCCAGCAACGCTATAGAACAGCAGTGCCACCTTGCGGCGCCCTATTCTGTCCAATAGCAACAAAGCTAAAACAAAAGCAGGAAGTTCAGCGAGTCCTAGTAGGGCAAAGTTAAGATAGATATTCCCGCCTAGGCCTTGGGTGTTTAAGGCAATGCCGTAGTACACATTTGAATTGACCATCCTAAGAAAATAATGAGAAAAGGTAGATAATTGCGCTGAACGAAATTCCCCCATTAATGGGCTTTAAATTGAATCATTTGTTCTGTTAAAAGCAAATTTCCTGTAATATTTAAGAATCAGGGCACCTTTTAAACATTATTGGATTTTGAAAATTTGGTGGATGTAGGTTATTTTTCATTTTATGCAACTGATGGATTTATAAAGTCTATGTGTATGTTGATGAGTAAAAAAAAAATAATAACTAAATATAAGTAAATTAATATTGTTTTTTTTTTTTTTGTATATCTTTATGTTTGTTTGTTTGTTTTGTACTGTTAATACTCAATCTTACCCAAATGAAGGTTAAGTTAATATTTAAGAAATAACCATTATATACATGTATTTTACACGATGAACAGCCAAGAGAGCCCATGATTTTTTTTATATCGTCATACTCGCTCAGACTTACCAGTTAAAGCAGATGTTCAACGTGATCTTTGCCCTATCCCACGTCCGAAACATGTCTATTGGCGTGTGGAGTGTGGTCTGCATTTCCGATTTTTCCTCAAATAATTTCTCCAAGATTCCCTGCTCAAGTTCTACTTTGTTCACTTTGGCCACTTTGTTGATGATAACCTCCGCTTCTTGATTTCTACCGTGCGACAACAGCCAGCGAACTGACTCCGGAAAAACACTAGCGAAAGATGAAAATATTTAAACAAAAATAGAAATTAGGTGTATAGCCATGACATTGATGCTTAGTACATAACAGGTAAAACCAAGGCTTTTTCTTTTTTCCCCAGAATTTAAATTTGATTTTACAATTTCCACCCATGCCACTCAAAAGGACGTCCGAATTAGTCAACAATCTCTGTATATCGCATGGTAGCTTTGCACGGGTCTTTGAAGTCACGCTCTGTACTAATTTTTAAAAATCGCTGGATCTCCGTAAATTGAATTGGCATCAGAATAGTAATCAAAATAGTATATCAAAAGGACAAAATGAAGTCATTTCAATTTAATGATCTACATTCTTCATGCCTTTCCTGCATCTTTTTTCATACAAACATCAATTTGAAAAGAATTATTTCTACAGAGCAACAGTATTACAGTACTTACAAATAATAAAGACAGAACAGGAACAAAGGTAAATGTATCGTCAGCGCCAGGTATTTCCAATCCCGCACAAAATATGCGTACAGGGAGAGTACGCAATATCCTATACTATACGCTGCCATGTTGCCGAACCCTGCCAGTCTCCTTTTACTTTTGCCTACAAATTCCATTCCTAGAAAAACAACATATTTTTTTTAAAAATCCCTGTACTTAAATTTGAATCACACTTAGAAAGTACACTGTTGCTCAAAATGCCTGGTACACCTTAAAATATACTACTGTAGCTACCAAAACATGCTAGAGACCATTCCCATAATCCTATCGTACAAGCAGGATCGATCTATCTCAGAGTGGATTCTCTCTAAATCGCGTTCAGTTAAAGCGTGCACGAAAGTTAATTACCCCCCTCCCAGCAGCTTCAATGGGCGTGCAGACATTTAAGCCGCCGCACAGAGTCGTGGTGAAGTTTGATTTCAAAGTGAACACTGATGTCTCTATATATCATTATACTCGTAGTTGACAAATACTACTGTAAACGTGTAAAGCAGTTAGGTAATTGAATCTAATTTTGTATGTGGGTACTTGGACTCTATTTAGGTCCAAGGTGGGTAGTACTAAACTGCACTTAACCTCATTTAGGTGTCAGATTTGTCATTACTGCACCGCTCTGTCAAAGCGTACCTATTGTGTAGGGCGTCAAAAATACGGGTATTTCGATCATCCATATACAAGTATATATCAATGTGTAGATGATGATATTTGGAGACAACATAAGTAAGGTTCCGAGTAAGGCTAGTACACACACCGCTATCAAGAAAATGGGTCTCCGGCCAAACCTTTAATGAAAATTAAACAGATATCAAAAGAATAGAAACATTTTTCAACGAATTTGACACAGTTACATGTCAGATCATATTTTGAAACCAACGTGAAATGAACACGAATGCTTGAAATCTTCTCCATGTCATGATCTAATCACAAAAGGTGCATTCCACCTAGCAAGGTTATAGAACTACAGTATGATGGTAAATTAATGTGAAAAAGGAGGAAGAGGTTCTTGTTGGCACCATATCTGATGAATTGCAGATGGTTAATTGTTTTTAACATTTTTCCAAACAACACTACAGAAATTAAAAAAAGAAAGAAAAATCGTGTCGTTTACCTGTCAGATAGGATTCCGGAGAGAATGGCACCGACAAGTTTTCCCATGAAAAATATAGACTTACACGTGCTTAGAATAACTTTGCTCTCACACGTCAAGTCAAACTGAAAAAAATTAAAGCTTTATATATATATATATATATATATATATATAAAGTAAATAAAAATTGCAGCAAGCACATTAACGAAGCTAGAGAAAAAATTGCCATGCATATAAGCTTTGTGCCATAATGTGACGTAAAGTATAGAAACCCCCAAAAAGAAAACTTATCAAAAAGCTTTAAACAAAATAAAATGCACTGTCAATCATGAATTATCCGAAAGTGACTAAAATGACATTTTTACACTACACTGCACCATGAAAATGTATCTACCTACATCCGACACAATGGTTGCCGTGAATTCCTCTTGGCTGTACACTCGTCCTTCGGGACAGGCTACTTCACTGATATTTCCCTTCACCAATCCTACCGTTATATTTCTATCATCCCTACTACCATTATTCACAGAGTTAGCACCACTTCTGAAAAAGTTTAGATGTTCAGTCCAGCTCTGGTAGTCATATATTTTGCAACTACTTCGGTGAAGTGTCCCATCATCGTCTTGTATCCACGGTATTGTGAGGTTTAACAATTCGTCCTGTGACACATTGCCATAGTTCAGGTTCAGGTAGTCAACGTAAGCGTCCGGTACCTTGCAGTGATGTTCCGGTACGGCGCTATAAAATACAATACTCAGCACCACTGTAGCAACCGCCATCGCCACGGCACATATTAGGAGGTACTGGCGTTTCTGGTAGGTCCCAAACTCTCCAAGTATCACTAAAAGATCGTCGTAATGCATTGCTGTTTAGTTAACTTGTAGGTTCCTGACCCGTCGTAGATTCAATGTATCTGAAAGAATCGAATTTGTTGATGGCAATAAATGATGGATTCGTTTCCTAAAACACGTAACATGAAAGGATAAAAACTAAGACTGGTTTTCCATACCTAGATCGATCTAACGGGATCGGTCCACATCCAAGGAGTTTCTCGCTAAATTACTTTCAGCTTAGGCGGCTTAGATGTCTGGCACGCCTGCTGTATCTGCTAAACGATAGTTAATTACACCCTGTCAGTCTCAGTGGGCGTGATAGACAACTAACCCGCTTAAGTTGATTGCAATTTAGCGAGAATCCCCAAGGAGATAGATCGATCCAAGTTTGTACGATAGGGTCTGGGAATGGTCTCTTAGTCTCGGAACCCGTTTTGAGTCCGTGGTGTCTATCGCGAACCTTGCTGCACTGCTACCTATCCACATATTTTATAATACCATAGGCTTTTTAGTATGCCCGAAACGCTGGCACGCAAAAAACAAATCATGGAAACTGCTAATACTGTCATTATTGTGTTAAACAGAGTGTGTAGGGCCTACTTTTTTTCCTTTATTTTGAACTAGAGCAATATTTTATTCAAAGCACTGACAAAAGGAATTCAACACTGCATTATCCTTTTGAGAACCACAGGTTTGGACTTATACTTTATTCTGTTAGTTGAATCGTAAGGTGTAATATAACCCAAAACGTGAAATTAATGTTGTTGATATTTTGGCTTTTTTTCTTCTTTTTTCACACTATTTAATGACCATTTGGCATTACGTCAAATATGAGTACATGTTAATGACTGCAACTGACTCCAATGTAAAAAAATATTTCTTATGATTAAAACCAAAAAATCATTACCACCCTTTATGAATGACGTACTTTGAAAAAAGCAGGGCCAAATTGATGTTAATGGCCGACGTTCAGTTGAGGGTTAGTGCCAGCATATCGGTGTAACGTGACAGAGGGCACTCTATTGTCCCCATGATAGAGAGTTCGTTTCCCATTCTTTTGTACAGGAAAGCCCAGCCCAAGATTTTGACTAAGGTCAAGTTAACCCTAACCATTATAACTAATTGGAGGGCGGACTCTCTGTTACACGGACCTTCAGTTTCGTTGCACTGGTACCTACACGCACTGATACAAAGACATGGAGACAATAGAGTACAAAAACTACAAAAGCAAATTTGTACTAGAAAAAATAATTGAAATACATAAATATATCTAACATTAATAAACATCGAGTAATTCATAAACAGATTTATATATATTTGCGTTTTTGAGGGATCTTACCGACAAACTTTCATGAACACGTCCACGGCGACTCCCAAAGTGACACTCCTGCGACAAAATTCTTTGAGAACCAGGCGACGGGGACAAGCGGGGAGCACTGTTATCCTGTCACAACAGAGATTACCTATGAGCATGTGTACAAGTATACTTTAATATAATATAAAATAGTGTTTCTGCAATAATTTGGGTTAGACATAGACATGATATACAGCAGTTTTTTGCGATACATAATATAGGTCAACCCATCTTTTTGTCCTGACTGACTTACTGCATACTTACTACTACGGTTCGTAGCATAAATGGGACATGGGGTCAAAGAGTGTCTTCTCTTGCGCTTTTTTTTGCTTCTATCGTTATATTTTTATGTAAATTCATTATATTTTCATCCTCACGCGATCCCTTAACGCTATTCATCTCGAAATCTCAACACGTACCAGTATGAAATGTCCAGAGCCTGGGACTAGTTAATATCCACTAACACCTCTTCTTCCGCACCTCAGTGGAATTGAATAAAGGGAAACTGGAGGAGAAAGAAATGTGCCAGAAGTGCACGTCAGATGACGTCGAATGGTGTAAGACGTGAAGCTGCCTGATCACTTTTAGTTGGAAGTATACGGGAGTGGATCTTTGAGTGTCAAGTTAAAGCGGAATTTTTTGACGGCATGATAAGATAATGTTTTTGTCTTCCGGCATTTTGGGCGGAAAATACATGTAAAAATACCGGTTATATGATATGAATATGTGTCACGAAGCTTGTAATTCGTTGTCATGTGCAGTTTTTGCAATCGGATATGCCCATATCTGACTTTTGTTTGATGTCTTATGGTACATGCTTCAGTTGTAACGATGTTTAGAGTCCTTAAAGGACCTTGCTTAAACTAGGAAGTAGAGCACAACTAACTTTTGATTTCGATTGGGTTTCTTATTTCAATTAAATTATTGTCATTCAGTGGTCAATGCGCCCTTACTATGAGCAAGGGGATATCGTATCTTTTAAAAACGTTAAGATTTTAGAGCCTCGAGGAAAATGTCACAGTTAACACAATCCCCTGTAGGGCGACATTGTGAACACAATGTTCTGAGTGCATCAACACCGACTATTAGGGCCATCATGCTTATTTGATATGCGTGACTATTGCTTTTATTATCACCATTATTTCAAACCAGTCCACAGCAGTTCTTAAGCGGCAGTAACTCCGTCACATTCCTTTACATCGCCACCATTATGTACTTCTTTTGCACAATTAGGCAGATGTAAAACGGGTGAAATTTAACTTGCTGAGTTTTTAATCTAACGTACATGTATACTAAAGTGTAATCAAAAGCGTGATTGATTTAACATCATGCTAATGAGAAAGTTTATTTGACCCAATATACATGTATTCATTATTCGTGACTGGTTCATTTTGAATTGTTCTGTTTATACTTTAATCACGTAATTATTTTTCTACATTGCTCTCCCTGCAGTGCGAGGTATTACTGCGTCATTAGTTGCATTTGTAGTACCGCTCGCACTCAGTGTACACCATATAAATCAAGTCAAGGTATAATATCGTAAATAATTTAATACTTGAAGTTTATATAAATGAAATATAAATCTTAACTGAGTATTGTTTATTTCCTATTCACATATACATATATATAAGTTGAAACTTTTTCATTCAGAGTTTTCCCGTAATATATGCATAGTCTAAAATGACAAGCTAAAGGCAAGTGCTTTTAAAACATGTTGATGCATTGTTACTAGAATGCTGCAGTACACGGAAAGTGAATATGTCTTTCTTAAATATGACACAGAAGCTCCGTTTATTAGAAGTAATACATCTGTAAATGATAATACAATTTTAAAAGATTTTTTCTTACTTTTCCAGTGTAGATGCCATCTATATAGCTTCCCGTTGAAACAAACGGATCTTCTGTGTCTGCCATGCAAAATATCACAAATACAGCAGCGAATTCATACTCAAGTTGAAGTAGTTTTTAGCTGAAAAATTGACAGTTGTCACCTCGTTCCATTACAAAATATACCGGAGCTTTGATACTGAATTTTTACCAGAATAAACATTTCAGTATTGAGCAAGCGGGCATTGGTAGTCGGTGTGTCGTAATGACCCATAGGACCCCCTTTTCGGACATACAATGTACCAGTGGCCCTTTCTCCCCCTTCTCTCCCCCCACCCCAAGTAAATAAAGTGTCGATAAAAAGACAAAAATAATATTTTTTTTCACATTTTACTTTCTTCCCTGTACCAAAATCCTGGTACGCTAAGAGGGTCCTAAACGTCTCTCCTCTCCCTCCGTTCCACCCACTCCCGAAAAAATGTGTAACATGTGGAACAAATTCAAACCTAAACACTCTTCCCTTCGCTGTGTTCCACATTTTATCTTCGTTCCTCTCTTAACAAAGTCTGGCTCATCCATTTTTGATTAATAATTTTCCTCCTTGAAGATTTGAGATGGGCGATAAAAAGGATAAGTTACATAAGCAGCAATCCGAACAGTCGTAATGAGATGTTTTCTTGCCTTAGGATTTTCTTTGCTAACGCCAGTATGTTTTAGTCATCCCTCTTGATTCTGGACCGTTGTTGTTCTGTTTATAATAATAATACATGTAAGAAAATAAAGCCAATTGAAGCAACAATGAGAGAGCAATGAAAATTTAACTTCTCATATAACATGTACATATTCATTTAAAACATTTTATGTCATAACAAAATGTTCAGTGCCTAATCTGTCTTAGCTGTTAGACGCAATATTAAAATCAGAAAGAAGTAGTTGAAAATGCATACCAACCTTCCATTTATCACCGTGTCGAAAGCGCTCATGGTTTGAGACAGGGGTTTTCCCAGGGTCTCTGGCAGCAACATTGCCAGCCCTCCGGCGGTCACGGAACACAACCCAATTACTATGAACGGCAACGGCTTGTAGACAGTTTCCAAGAGGAGAATCTGAGGAGCCAAAAGACCACCTAACCGTCCAATAGAGGAATGGAAGCTTAAGCTGACGTGCCTGAGAAAAAAATAGCCCCGTGTGATTCTAACAATTTGGTATTGAAACCAATTACAACTAATGAAAACAATTATAACTAAATCAAGAATGATGATAAATAGTGACTTGGAGACTAAATACCGCGATACATCAGCTATGGACCTTGATCATGTGAATAGCAATGTTCAATGGGTACGTCGTTTAGTAATTCAGGTGCAAAATACCAATTTCATATTAATTCAAGAATAATGATTTTTATTTTGAACCTTCTATGTGTGCAAAAATGGCCAGGGTTTGCATGTTATACTTAATTATTTGACGTGCTCAAGTGAGAACGGACAAGTAAAGTGAATAAATTAAAAGGCACCATTTCATGTCGCGGAAGGTGATGCAACTGACCTTATCACAGTGGGATAGATCTCGCTAGTAACCATATAGATGACAGCAAAGGTGGTGCTTATTTCCATCTTCCCCAGTAAAGCCAGTGTTACAGTCAGCCATTGCATGTCTGGAATGCAAGATGGCGATTATTTATTGAAGCCAAACAAAAATGAAAAATGACTTTTCTCCAAACGTTTTTTTTTTTTTTTTTTGTGATGCCCTGTAATTATAAAAATGGCTAAAATGCCAAAAGACACGACCAAACGTAGTTATATGTTCAAAATGATGAATTAAATGAGACGCAAGGATCTTGATAATTATTGCAGTGAATCATATTTGATTTTTTTCTTTATTTGAATCAAAAATATTTTCGATCACATGCTCTCAAGCTCAAAAGTCTACATATGCTCTCCGAGGATTTATTAACGTTAAACTAGGCTGATAGAGGCGCATTTGGTTACTGTCATTACGGTGTTTTGTAATTGTTAAATGGGGCATATGATTTATTTGGCTCTCTAAACCTCGTCGTTTTTTTAANTTTTTTTTTTTTTTTTTTGTGATGCCCTGTAATTATAAAAATGGCTAAAATGCCAAAAGACACGACCAAACGTAGTTATATGTTCAAAATGATGAATTAAATGAGACGCAAGGATCTTGATAATTATTGCAGTGAATCATATTTGATTTTTTTCTTTATTTGAATCAAAAATATTTTCGATCACATGCTCTCAAGCTCAAAAGTCTACATATGCTCTCCGAGGATTTATTAACGTTAAACTAGGCTGATAGAGGCGCATTTGGTTACTGTCATTACGGTGTTTTGTAATTGTTAAATGGGGCATATGATTTATTTGGCTCTCTAAACCTCGTCGTTTTTTTAACAACTGTTCTCTGCTGTACACCATTCACCAGAATACTCCTTTCCAATGATTGGCTAGAAACTGAAGATGTATATGATATTTGAGGTATTTTAATTGCATTTTGGACTCACCATTCGGTATGAGCACAGCAAAAACACATGCTAGTCCACCAATTGCCATGAAGATGAAAAGAATCTTTCGACGCCCTATCCTATCCAAAACGAATAACACCAGAAATTGTCCCGGAATTTCAGCCAAGCCCATAAGTGCAAAATTGAGGTAAAAACTGCCTCCGAGAGCTTGAGTACCAAATGAGAGGCCATAATATACCAAAGCGTTCACAAACCTGAAATATGAAAATGTAAGACCTAAAACGTGCTCAGTGAATTGATCGTAATAAAAAATTGACAAATACTCTATGAAGTTTAGTCACAACAATCTGGAAAATAAACGTGTAGGTTCGTAAATGCTAGAGACTTGCTTTGTCAAGTTTCTTATAAAAATACATAATTCCCATACTACGAGAAATCATTCCGGTATGATATTAGTTATAATATATAGATGTTTTTTATTACCAGAAGTTTTTTATGCTACATGTCAAAATAAAACCTATTACCAACCATATCAATTGCTGGATTTCATTGGAAAGCATAACGTACGCTCAACCTACCAGACCAAAGCGATATTAAGTGTCACTTTAGCCCTATCCAAGGTTTTCAGTAAATCAACAGGAGTGTGCGTCACCCTCTTCTCCTGGTCTCCCTTTAACAAAAAGTCATCGAGTACATCTGGATCCAGTGTAACCTTGTTGACGGCAGCTACTCTTGTAATGATTGCCTTTGCCTCGTCATGTCGACCCTGAGCGAGCAGCCATCGTACTGATTCCGGGAGAACCCTGCGATGAATGCGTATTTATAGATAACGTGTTTTTGCTGAGAAAATGAAAAATAATCGTTTCATTGAAGACTTACTTATCTACTTTCTTTCATCAAAATGTAAGCACCAGAACATTTTATCTTTATTATATTGCGATCCACACTGACAGCGAAACGTTGTATGGTCTCTGCATT